AGCTGTAGAAAGAGAGGGAATGTTCTCGACTACTGTTGGTTTAGCCTTAGAAGGCACACCTAGTTCTATCAGTAAATCATGAGGATGTATGGCTAGATGCACTTCCATATTGGCTGTCCACCAATTTTGAAATCTCTTTAAGCTAAACCAGATGGGATGAAGGGTGTAAATTTGAACTCACTCAAGTCTTTTAACAGCTTAAATGTTGCCTCCTCTAGTTTGATTTTGGGTACTCTTAGATCTTTGGCTGTGAGATGGACATTCGAGAGACTGCAGAGTGGAATGGGAATTCCTTGAGTAAGCCCAAATTGTCTGGCAAACTAAGAAGGGCAATATACCTTAGATATGCACTTGTAGGCTCGAGGGTTTAAAGTACCAATGAATAGTTCCCTCGGCAACAAAATGGAAGCCTACATATCTTTGTGTGATGGGATGGAACACTCTTTATCAGCCAAGAATGTTTGCAGCCAAGTTGGTCCTTTGTTGGCATCAAAGGGACAAAAAAAGGTGGTAGTTGGGGAAATGGGAAGTTGATGAAAAAAGGTGACGTAGTAGGCAAAGGAAGCAGGATAAAGAGCAACTCTAGTATACTTTTCTCCGTAAGTACTAGGGTCTTGAACTAAAAACTTCAAGCACTTAAGATGCAGGTCAGTAAAGTATGCAAAAAGCCAGAGTTGAAGCACCCAGAGGGGGCCTCCCTGATTGATGTCGAGAGGTCTTTCACAAAATTGCAAGCAAGCTCTATAGACATGGCCTAAAAGGTAAAGGGCCAAGACTATTCGTTTCTTCAAAACAAGGGCCTTCGCAAGTGGAGCAAACTTAGGCATGATCCGCTGAGATGATGTACAAAAGAGAAATTTATACAACCAGTATAAAATAAAGGAAAAGAGTTCTTGATCTCTCACGGGGCCTTCCCTTTTATTTTCAGCCTTTACAAAATCACTATAGGAGGAATTTAAGGGTGGAAGGGAAAACTTAACAGAAAGGTCTACGTAGTTGGGTGTAAAAGGAGTACTAAGTGGTGAAAGCCCTAAGAGATGGCAGATATCAAGAATGGTGGGGGCCATCATGCCACACGGAAACTGAAAAAAATTAAAAGCCATGTTCCAAAAACAAAGAGCAGTGAGAATTAAAAAAGGGTCTTCAAGAATGATAAACCTGGAAAGACAAAGGGCGTCGAGAATACAGAGCTCTTGCAGGTCACATTCTCTTGCAGGCATAACTCTGTCATACCATTCCTCCCACTCTACCCTCAATGTCGGCCAGCAACGGTGAGGTCGGTTCATTCTCCAATTTCCCCAGTCAAGCCCCCCTTTATAGAGAAGAAAGTGGTCCTCCAAACGAGGGCATAAAGTTGGAAGTTGAGCGGGAGCTTCTCAAAAGATGGGACCTAGGACATATTCTTGTTTGTTGCTATAGCGAGGAACAAAGAGGCGTCCATTTATGGCACTTGACCCATCAACTGTACATTTGGCGATCTCTTCCTCAATACATCTTTTCAAAGCCATGGTTGGACTTATACGTTCGCTAATTGGTACTTTCAGTGAAGAAGAATCCATTGGTGACGAGTAGCAAGGAAGAGAGATTTAATAGAAAGGAAGGGTTTGTGTATTGAACAAACGAATGAGTTCAGAGCACGAAGTAAAAAGGGTTTTAAAAACCTTGGTGTCTGGAAAACATATCGTGTAATTCATAAAGAAGTATTAAAAGTACAGATACGAAGAGTTTCCTTCAATATTGATACTTTTGGAGGGAAACACATCTCAAGATGCTGATGTCAGTTTCGAAACAAAATATTTGGCTTCGAAACAAGATTTTGGCGCCAAAGTCAAATAACAACGGCTTCGAAACTAGAAAGTCGGCTTCGAAGCACATTCCACACCTAAGAATGCAAGAATGCTCAAGTATTTGTTTACTTCAAAAGGATTAAAAACCTGTTTTATGGTTTCTTAGTGAGAGTAAATCCTTCGAAGCAAAACTTGAAATCCCTCAAAGTTAGGAATGGTTTGTTCTAAGTTCCAAACCAATAGTTGGTTTGATAATATATAGAAGAGATTGCTCTTTTAGAATAAAACAATGCAATCCTGAAAGGAGGCTTCCATATTTCTTAAAGTATGGACTGTAGTTCGAAGCAAAATGGTCAATTTAAAACTGATTGATCGTATTAACCATGACCATATGTTGGATATGATTAAAACAAGATTTAAGGGGCAAGGCTGTTAAATTTGAAGCACCGATTCTAAATGGAAACCATTAAAAGTTGTCAACTGTATTCCATGAATTGGAAAAGTTCATGTTAGTTTTTCAGTGTTTTATTTAAGATAATTGAATCTAAATTCGAAGGATGAGATTGTTGAGTTCGAAGCCCTAAATTTGCTTGTAAAGACAAACGGAGATAAAGTCAAACCATACCAAACAAAGAGAAAAGTCTTAGCTGTATTGAAACAAAAGCAATTACATCAAAAGACCCTCTTTAGGTACAAATTCGAGTTCATAAAAGTAAAGAATAGAATAAATAACAAGATCATGGAATTTGGTCCAGTTATGGTCAATAAATTTCTGTTCTTTTTTTATTCTGTCTTCTATTTTCTCCAAGCTTGGCTACTGAAGTTGATGGGCTCTTACTTGATAAAAGAGTTCTTCAGCCTTTATTTCAAACGCTGTTTCTTTTAACCTTTGTTCCAGCTCATCCATATCCAAGTCATCCCAGTACACAGAGTCTTTATTCTTGAAGTCATCATATTCTTCGATGAGGTTCTCTGCTTCGTATTAGGTATGAACTTGAAGGGATGAAAGTCGGTTCAAAGATTGGGTGGTAACCATAGAAGTCCGGTGCCAATGAAGAAGTAATGGGAGTTGGTCCAAAAAAATTTGGAGTTCTGCTTGGGCGATGGGGTTGAGGACGTGACCCCGAGTCATAACATCACAAGCCCATCGAAAGTCTTAAGAGGAACATCGTCTTCAAGAACATTGAAAGGCAAGTGAGAAAAAGCCGCAAGTAGAAGTTGGGCTTGCTTTCGCTGAGTTGGAGTAGGGGAAGGTGGAGGCTTATAGGGGAGAAAAACCTTGTCTGCAGAAAGGGTAAGCCTCAGTCTCTCTATCCAGCAGGGATTTTGCGGAGGAGGAGGTATAGAAGCTTCTATTTTGATAGAAGGAGGAAACTGAGGGGCATTAACACAATCAAGCCAGTCAGAAGAGCAAAGCCTCGCCTTCTGGGCTAAGAACGATGGGTTATACCCTTGTGCCTCTTCTGGGTGTCGGGTAGCTTGTCTATCTTTGTAGGCATGGAGGATATGTACCATACTCCAAGCAGATTGTCCTCTAAACTGTGTCGGCGGTCAATGGGCACGTAAGGATAAACCACCGAACTCCGAGCATCAGTAGGGAATTCTAGAGGATCAGTGAACTCGACAAAGTGATGATTAACTCGCTCCTTTAACTTCCATGCCTCAGGTTCTGACCAACTTCTCCAACCAGAAACCCCAGAGAAAGAAGAAGCCACAGCCTATTCCCATGCAGAAGATTGTGAATTAGAAAAAGAGCTTCCAATGTCCATTTTTGCAAAATTTTGGGTTAGAGAATTATGAGTAGCGAGTGCGTAATCCAAAGGTTGATAGTTTGCAAAAACTTCCATAACTTGAATACAGGGAGGTGGGTAAAGGTGGCTAATCAATGCATGAAGCTTCTTTCGAAAAAGAACAACATCATCAGATAACTCTTCGTATACTCGATCAATAGAAGAGAAAATTGGTTTTGCCATAAAAGATGTATCAGTCTGTTTGAATACTAAGATGGTGGGGTTGCTCAAAGGATTAAAAGAGAATTTAATGCAAATGATGAATAACGGTTGTATTTATGGAAAAATGCAAAGCCCATGCACGTTCTAAGACGTGGATAAAAGACCTTGATCCACTAATATCACAAAGTATTGGGTATATTAGTGCGGGGGGTAATGTTGGCTACATATTTTGTATAAGCCAATTCCAATTCAACGCGTAGCAGAATAAGGGCAATATGGGAAGACTATTCAAGTCTTCGATCGTCATCGTACACGTGGCAGTTAGTATTGATTCTTACAAGATATGCATAGTACTAGATCAGTAAAGAGATGCAAAGTGATGTGACTTCAACGGTTACTCACATTCAAATTCAAAATCAGGAGGGAAGCCTAACTGCAGGTAATGGCATAGTGGAGCTAACTATAAAGCAACATAATTAGCGATCATGGAGGATCGATTCGACGGTTAGAAGTGCAGTTCGATGGTTATCCTTGAGAAGTATAAATAGCAAAGAAGGCCCCAGAAAAAGCGCATATTCAGATCCAGAAAAACCAGTTTTATCAACTTTATTATTTCTTTTCTAGTTTTTACATTGCCTGCTATTTACATTGCTGTACTTTAAAATTCCTACACTGCACTTCGTTCATAGGAGTAGTTTCAAGTTGTTGCTGTAAACCTCTGCGAGGCTGAATTGGATCATTGTAAGTCTTTCATTTTTACTTAATGAAATGCTGCAATTGTTCTTTATTTAATCATTGTCAGTTAATTCTCCTAAGTAAAGTCACCAGTAAAAGTCCTCTTCATTGAAGTTAAAAGAATTAAAACATAATAGTCTGATAATTGGTTGGCAATTAATATTCTGTAAGGACTGATTGATCATTTCTGGCACACTCACAATTACAAAAATAACCTTCGAAAGCCAAAAAAGTCAACAAGTAGGTGTTTGATATGTATTAAAAGAGTACATTTATTTGGGTCACATTAATCAATATTTATTAGCATCTCTTCTTTACTTTTTTACTCATTTTCTTTACTTTTTTATATATTTTTTTTAATAAAAAATTAAAAAATACACTTATTTAAAACATTCCAAACCATTCCTAAATCACAACCGTCCACTTTCTTATCCAGTCACACAAAACCTACGGCCAGAAATCCTCCAACAGTCCAATCTTATACAATTTGCGCGGGAGGGAATCGGTTCAATTATATATACACACACAAATATCTCTATACCATATTGGGGTGAACAGTATTTTATTCACAAAAATTCTATTTTCTCTCTCATCAAAGATGGAAAATCCCGGCCAATCAACGCCGCCGCCGGCGATGGTGAAGTTGAAACCAATCGAAGCAACACCGGAGACGTTCAAAGAGTTCGGTCAGGTGATCGAGGCGTCGCCGGACGGTGAAGAGTTCGGTCCTCAGGACGCTCAATTGGACCTCAGTCGAGGAATCCCAAGGTCTTCGTTATCTCTCTCTCTCTCTCTCTGTAACTTTCTCTCGCCTAGGGCTTTTGTTCGATTTGAAGTTATCACAAGCTCTCATAGCCGTGTTGTAATAATAACCATAGTGGATTGGTTCTAGGGGTAATTTCTGAATTCACTTGCTCTGGATGACCTAATTTTTGCAAAATTTGTGTTATTAATTGGTATGTCCCATAATGATTATTTCATTGATTTTTCAAGCAGGGTATCCTGAGTTATAGTTATACTAAATCTTACAATTCTCGATTTGATTGGATCCACGATTCGCAAAATTAGGGTTTCGATTCATGATGAACGTCCACATAAACATTCGTTGTTATGCTGTGTAGGCATCCATGCTAGTAGGTCTTCTTATCATAGATGCAATTTCATCATCTTGTCACTTATAAGTTGCACCTAATGCAGTCAAATTATTTTTGTTCGATTTGTTTAAGGAGCTCATGTTAATGAATTCGTCATATTATTAGGTTCTACATTATGCATCTTGAAGAACGACCACTCAAGTTTTCTACAATTACACATCATGCAAGTGTCACTCAGTGCCTTGGTTCAATTGGTGGCAATGTTTGGTATATTGGGGTTGCTAAGCCCTCCATCGTTGATTCAAGTGAAATTAAGGCCGATAAGGGCTTGAATATTGTGCAATCACACTGCGGTCATTTCTATGTGCCACCTGCTGTTGATGATGTGCGTGTTTTCAGAATTGCAGGTCCAAAGTTTTTGAAGTTGAATCGTGGTACGTGGCATGCTGGGCCTTTGTTTAAAGCAGATGTGATGGACTTCTATAATTTAGAACTCAGCAATACTAATGTGAGCTCTTCCATCCCTAACTCTTCACTGAAGTTTTAAACCTTATATTCCTTTGGTACATTCGTGTTATTTTTATATTCGTTCATTTTATCTATTGACTTGACATGCGTGGATTTCTACTCCACCTTGAAGATTTTCAAGGTTTTTCGTTTTTTTTATTAAAGGTAGAAGATGTTCATTCTACACCCTTTATATATCTAGTTGCAATGGAAGCGGATTATTGAGCATGCCTCACGCAACCCAAATGACAAATAGCCATATGACCTTTCCAATGTAGGACTCAACACATGCCATCATGGATTAGGGTTGTTACCTAATGTCTTCCGTATTTTATGTTACTCTTCAAAATTTGCCGTTTTGGAGATGGTGCTTGGATTATTAGTTCTTGGTTCTACCATGTTGTTTTCCCCTTTTCTCTCTTATTAGTTCTTACTTCTTGTGATTTCTTTTTCTTTTTCTTTTTCTTTTTCTTTTTCTTTTTCTTTTTTTGTTAAGTAGGGCATTATTAAGGAAAGAAGACTCTTGATTTAAATAACTCATCCATCTTTCTCTCTCTCTGTAGGACAAAAGTGCTCCTTTTTTAGAATAATACATATAGATGTGGAACACACTGGATAAGTATCTAGGTTGTTTTAACCTACAGGGAATTATGATTTAGTGGCAGTCTAGCCACAGAAACCATGACACATACGGAGAGGAGGTCATTTCCCTCAAATAATTCAAAGCTACAAGTAAAATGATATTTGGTTTTGAATTATTTGAGGGAAATAGTTATTTCCCATTTGGGTTGTGAGAGGCGCACACAATTCATTTCGGCACCTCCATGACATTGAAAAAATAGAAGAGCAAGCTAAACGAAAAGCTTGAAGCGTGATGATTCAGAGGGCCTTAATCGTAAAAATTTTCTGAATTTGTTCTCTTTGTGCAATTTGCTTGAACTTTTTTCCACTGCTAATCTTATATACAGGTAGCATTTTGAAAGTACTTATCATTAGTATTATCTCAAGTATACTTTGTGATATGGCTTGCGTTTTTGTGTAGGTTGTGGATCACACAACGCATAATTTCGTCAAGAAAGATAAGTTGGTCTTTCTGATCGATGACTAGTTTATTTTCTATAATTATGTTTTGTTTTGTTTTGTTTTTTTTTCTTTTTTTTTTTTTTGGGGGGGGGGGGGGGGGTGTGTGTGTGTGTTATATCCTCCAATAAATGATTGTTAACTACATCATGTGAACGATTACTGTTCATGATCATTTGCTGATTTGAGCAGCCTGTGATGTATAAATCTCAATACCAATGTTCAACAATGCTGTGGTTAAATTATTGCTGAACTAATTTTCATTGTTGCTTTTGGAGACGCATACACTTGGGGTTGCTGCCCCTCTTGATAGGGCCTAGTCCAGGCCCACCTAAGTGATCTGCCCCATTCATTTTATAAGACTTGCCGAGCTGATTGTCCATGCAAAAATTCAAGTGGATTGAATATCAACAGCCACATAATCAGATTGCATGTCTTCAAAAAAATTGATGATAGGTATGATATTGAAAACAAACCATCTATTTTTTTAAGGCGAATATAATTCATTCATTTAGTTATTGATATTCGATCAACTAGATTTTTTCTAATGTATTTGATGGACCTTGCAAAATGAACAACTTGGATTAAGGTGAGCCCAAAATGAGCAACCAGTGCATCACGCCTTGTCTTTTAAACACTAGGAATTGGAGTCCGGTGTGTGATTTGTAGGTGGTGACTTTGATATGTTCATTTATTTCTTTTCCTCTTTTCTTTTGATCCTTTCTTGGAGGACTCCTTGTTCCCCACATTCTTATACTCCTTTTCATTATATATATTTTGGAATGATTCTTTGATCGAGCTTTCCCGACAATTATAAAGATTTAAGCCACCTCAGCAAATAACTTGGTCCAAGTAGAATTTAATTTTTTTTAAGGGATGTTAGATTAGGTTGTAAAATGCTTGATTCCTAGAATTGTACAAGAAAACACGAGATATACATTGTACATAAATCAGATACCTATCTATAACCTTTGATAAGGTTATATAAACGAATAAATTTTACCTGCTTTTTTTTAAAAAAAAAAAAAAAAAAAAATTAGGGGGTAATTTGTTATGAAATATAAACCTCAGGGGGTAAATTGTTATGAAAATACAAACCTCAGGGGGCGGGATGTAATTTCCGAAACCTCAGGGGGGTATCTGTAATTTAACCAAACCTGGAGAGATGTATATGTAATTTGCCCTATAAATTTAAAGCACAAAATATTACATAAGATGACCAATTTCACGTCTTTTGTCCAAGTATTCACATCATCTAGGGCACAAACACATTTAAGAGATTATATATAATTGCATAATAAATATAATGAAATTTTTTCAACAATTAGATGTTCTCAAAGCGAAGAAAAATTGATGCACTGGTCCTTCGTTCAGACAAAAACTGTCAGATAAGGTTTCAGTTCGCATCGAAGGAACATTAGCAACAAAAATAAACTAATAAACTGCAGATTTTCTTATAATACAAGCACAAATTGAAGGCTTTATTTCTGTTACAGTTCTCTTCAAGTATTGCACCGCTCTCCCCAGTCGACAGATCAAATTAGAGCTTTCGGAAAACACTTTCTGAAGTTTGTATGGAAGCGCTGATCTTACAGGACATTGGAAGCATCGTTGCATATCATTCAAAGTACTAAACGATTGAACTGGTCTGTCACATTCCATCACCTCCCATCATCTGCAAAATAGGGTGGATAGATATTTCAAGAATTTCAGTAGCAATAATTATTTCTTTTTCGATTGTTTGGGAGAAAAAATTTTTAAAATTTATTCATGTTATTTGATGACTATACTGACGGGTAGCAAAAAGAATTGAATCAGCACTAGTAATGAAGGAATACAAAATAATTAATACCTTAAAGAAATCTCCAAACATCCCTTGCATGGGATTTCTACGCTGTACTCCATAAAAAATCCCCGCAATTTCCTCTAGCAACTAAAAAAACCAATCAGATTTGATAAAACAAAGGAAATGAATTATAGACATCACCCGCACAAGTTCAAGCATTTTTTATTTATTAAAATACTGTTGTGGAGAACTCTTTGTTTATATATCAAGAAGGGTAAAAGATTGCACCATATGCAACATAAAAGAATTATAATCCATTGTAAAACATCTACATTGGAGCTATAACCACACACCTCATAGAATACAGGTTCTCGGTCAATGGCAGATTTGTAAGTCTGTGTCAACACATTAAACAGAGGCAGAGCATCTCTCTGCAACCTGCATTGGAAATAACATTATGATCAACATCGCTTATAATCTGAAGAACAAGCCAATAAAATTCATACTGAATAGATGTCAAATGAGAAATGTAAATAAAACTTACGTCAGCAAAAGATAATTGATGAACTGCATCAAATCTGATCTGGGGAGGTTAAGCTCCTTGTCTCTCACTTGATTTTTTAGTTCATCCATAAGATAATTAGCATCTCTCAGATTGCCAAGAGATAAATACCTATTAGGGAAAAAATGCCATCACTACTTCACTTCTAATGTCAGAGCGAAAATAACAAGAAACAGTGGAAAAGCTGAATGGGTAATTCTAATATAATAATATCAAGCATGTTAGATATGATAATGCAGTGCCTGCATGTTTATGGTCCAATGTTTCCCAAAATCAAAGTGTCATCTTTTATTTGTTGGGTTAATTTCTTGGAAACGCAAAGCACATATTCATAATTTTTTCGAGTAATGCAACACACAGATGCCAATTATTTGCCACTATTTTGACAATCCTATGTCTCCATCCCGCAAAAAGGAGGGGAGGTAGTGAGAGGTATGTATGTTTTTATAATCCTTGGTTTCCATCAGTTCATTGAGAATCACAGGGTTACGATCTGGATATGGTGTTTAAATACTATCATAATCTCAAACCTAGAAGCAAGGATCCAGTTTCCAATTGTACTTACATCAAAATGGCCCGCGCAATGGCTAAATCGTCCTCACCTGGATAACACTGCATGATTGAAAAGCGTATGAGTTAAATGCATTTAACAATAATCAAATAAAAAGCAACCATTATATTGAAACTGATTGTGATGGACTTGGTAAAACAACCGAACTAGTAAATAAAATTGCAGTATATTATGTGCATCTAGAATATAACATGGGTTACACCATACATCGTCTTTGAGAATAAACAGAATGAAACCAAGCAGCATTACCTAATCATCACTAAAGGGTGGTGGCCTGGTGGTAAAGTCCCACTCCCATATGGTTCGGCGGGCAGGAAGACATCGATTCGAGTCTCACCTGTGGTCATTTTGTGGGCCCATCTAGGCCTCTCTTGTCTCACTCCCCAACGGGTAAGGGCTATTATGGTCACACTCAAGGAGGGTTCACACCAACTGCTCCTACCCATTTGCAGGGCCAAATAAAAAATTGCATAATTAAACAGTAGACTGACTAAATAGTTTTAGATTTTCAAAATTTGTCCTCCCAACAAAATTAGCAGCGGAGAGTACATTTTTTTATAAGAAAAATAATTGCATTAAAAGAGCATCAAGTGGGTGCCACCCATACACATCAGACAAAAATCCTAAAGTCTAAGGACGCCACAAAAGTGTATACATTTTACAAATCTAAAGTATCCACAAAGTGAGAGTACATCTGAATGTATGCTAGAAATTCATCTAAACAAAACTGAATAAACTTACGATGAAGTTGCACTTTGTTTCCACAAAGAAAGGTTGGAGGATAAAAGGTCATGTACCTCTAGCATCTTCATGATCGAATTTAAGAAATAGACGATATTATTGTAAATAAGAAGCCTAACCTTGCCCATAAAATTAACAAGAGTTGATGCAAACGTTTTAGGGTGTTTCCCTCTAACAAAATGATAAGATACTCTTGTCATGTCCTGAAAAGCAGCAGCATATTGGTGTTCACAGATCATAAAACTAAGGGAATGAACAAAAAGCAACATGAAAAACATTGAAACTTGGTTCACCATTAATCTGTTTAATAGTCGTAGTAAATTGCAATGTAGTAAAATTTAATAATGTCAAGTTCATGTTTGGAATGTTTGGAAGGCTGGGGACAAAATTGCTAAATCTATCTACCAGAGCATTTTCAAGGCACAAATTTATCACCTTTAATTTAGCTATAATAACTATTAAAAAAACTATGAAAGGAAAAAACATAACACTTTTGGCAAGTATATTAAATACCAGGGAAAAGTTGGTAATAATACGAAAATTTCTAATGTTCTCCATTTACATAACAAAATATAGAGAAATTAAAATGAGATAACTGAGTACAAGGAGCATAGAATTCTGTTGGCACACCTACCACCTCTGGGGATTCAGAATATATGTATTCAGCTAGCATATCATGTAGTTCAAGAGATCCATTCCTATGAGCCCCAAATTCTGCAGACCACCTACAGACAAAAGAATTCAGTTACCGTGCATTTGCAGTACCAAATAACACTATTAATATCAGCTCAGGGAAAGTGCAGATATACATTTACATATATACCCAAAAAAAAAAAAAAAATTGATGTCAAAAAAATATATATTACTAATACATAAAAAAATAGAAGAAGATTTTTTTGAAAAAGATGTTAGTCTTTTCTTTTCTGTTTTTGGGTAAGTATGATTATAATCTTATGTGCAGTAGAGACACGCTAACAGTGAGGAAATAGCAACTATTAAGGCATTATAAATTAACAAAGATTCAAGATACATGCATCTTCCTTTCAGGATTTCATGACATAAGAAACCCAGTGTAGTGAATTATTGGAAGCAGCAAGACTACTAGTCTGTTACAGTATCTCCACTCTGAGATTACCATTTTCCTAATACTTGCCAACACATTCTAGGCACACCCCAACTGTGTAAAAATGATCTAGTCAAACCTCCATTGGCTACTAAATTCAATCAATGCCACATGTCAGATAACCCATGCCAGGAAGCCCAAACAACTTCCATAGAATACATTACTTGGCACTAGTTTTCTCGAAGAATGTTTAACTTCTACAATTACACATGCGCCAAGCTTTGAGATGCAATAATCTCATACCTAAATTGACCCCAGGCAGCCACCAGAATCACTCAAATATCATTGTGTTACAATCTAGCAATTGCTATAAGCAGACAAATTGTGACCCATTTATACTACTTTTGCATGTTTGGAGTGTTATTTTAGCAATTTTCAATTTACAGCACCAAAAAAACCTTTTAATCAGCTAGATATTGTACAACAACAAAAGTTGTCTAACTTTGCACTACACAATAAGCTCCATTGGGACAATGCGACAACCTAGATACAAAAGCAACTAGCAGATACATCAAAATCCAAGACATATACAGCACAGCAACTTAGTCAAATGGACAGAATATAATTGAGAACGCGATTATTAAATTGCACAAAATGATTGCAACACCAAAGAGATCCTTGGGATGAGTGATTTTCTCAACATCACCAAGTCCTTGCAATACAAGTAGCACAGCTATGGATTAGTAACCATGTTTTTACTTAACAACAAAAACAAGATATGCAGAAAGTCTCACTTAATAGCAGCTTTTAAAAATGATGAGCAACCCTCCACACGTATTTTTGCTTCCCCAAGAGCTTCCGAAAGCTTCTGCATGTCATCATCATCCGTCAAGTCCAAGTGTTGTGGCACGGGAATTTGGGGAAACTTCTTAAGGATTTTCCTGACACGGTCTAACAACAATCTTTGTCACAATTACAAAGAAAGAAAATATTGAAAAAGTTGGATAAATATTAAATACAAAAAAAATGACTAATAAGAAACTGTAAGTTCTATAAATCCAGTCAACTTAAGGGAGAGAGTATCTATGCAGCCATTGATTTGGTTAAATGCTGATTCTAGAAGATATAGACAGGACCAGATTCTAGAAGCTGATATCAAAAAACAAAAGCACAGAGTTGAACGATATTGGTTAAATGTCCATTTTCAGTTCCATACTTCCATGGAGAAAATCTTTGGGGTCTTCTTCTTCGCTTGTAAAATTCATGCATAATTTACATATTTATCATTCATGTATCCTCATTGTGTCCATGAACTTTTCCTTCTACAATTTAGTGAGTTGGCGTCAGATTCTGTTAAAGAAGCGCGGACACTTCTAAGAAGGTGGTGTGTCCGTGTTGGACATCGACACTTCCTAACACATGTCGGACTCATGTCGAAACGAGTGTTATTATTATTATTATAATTTAAAAATAATAACACAGTACGAACACTTAGGGGACACACGTCCATCATTTAGACACATATGAACACATTACAAGTTCAAACAAAAAAATTTAGGATCCAATGATGAAAAATAAATAAAAATTAATCCATTCTCCTTTAAATTTTATAAATTAGTGTCATGTTGTATTTTTTTATTATCTTTGAATGAAATATGACATGTAAAAATTATATAAACTATCTACTTTGTGTGCGTCCCCCAACTTGTCATGTCTTACATTTTTTTTTTTTTTAAATTGCCATGTCAGTGCATCTGTGTCATGTCGCATGCATGTGTTGTGTCAAAATGAATTATGTCATATGCATCCACGCGGCATACAAACATGAACAGAAATGTATGCCTATGTATATAGAAAGACATAAAATCTAGAAGATAAAAATTTACATCACTAGTGTAGTCGTGGAACTGACCAAGAGTAACGTCATCATAAGGAAATTTCCCTTTAACAAGTGTTTCCACAAACAGAACAGAAAGCTCAGCACCACAAGTAACCTGAAAATGTTATAGAATAAATCAATGTAAAGAATTCAACGAGGATGATGCAAATATGGATTGTAAATGGTTTAATACTTCTTAAATGATGGGAAATTCATCATTTAAAAAGTAGAAAATTCAGATGGTAAGATTAATGTGAACACTTTTTAAATGATGATGCAAATATGGATTGTCAGTGGTTTAACACATTAAATCAATCCAAAAAGGCTACATTGTTGTTTATTTTGCTATGCGATATCTAAATACTATCTGATATTCCAACTTTAGAGAGAACAAACCCAATCAACTTTGGGAGGAATAATCATTACAACCATGCGTAGTCATCCTGTAAGTTCATTACCAAGTATTATTATAAATCTTTACTTTGACACCCATTGATACACAAAAAGTGGACACATGTCTGCTATAAAGTTTTAGCTCAACTTTTTAACTAACTTCAATAAAACTGTACAGATATAGGAACACCAGACTACAAGAGAGTATCACCTGTCCATGTTCCAACTGAAGGCAAGCACCTGAGTGAAGAAGATCTAGGGCCTCAGAGTACCTCTCAGCAGATATGTATCTACAATTAAGCATGCATGTTTTTTTACTTTGTAAATAAATTTTATATAAGAAAGAGGTGTTAACCAAGAGAAAGAATAAAGCAGACATCTGATCATCTATCCAAAATCCAAAAAAAAAAAAAAGTAATTTAAATAAAGGAATGTTTTTAAAATTATTAGCTACCACATTGCACCCTCATGCAAATATAATTTGGGGTGTGGGTGAGTGGGTTGTGCACATGCATGCGAGGGCTTTCATATCCAGTTCTCAACTTTAAATTATCATAAATTCATAATGGAAACAATCAATGATTATAAAAGCCATTTTAACTGAACATATGTCTAAAAAATTAAAGACTAGTAGCTTAAACAATTCCAGGAAACAAACTGTTACCCAAAAAATATTTCTTAAAGTAAGAAAATAAAATAATAAACAAGAAAACAAAACAAAACACAAAGGCCACCTATGTTTCCTGCATCATTTTCATACTTCCAAATACTACGAACAGAAGGCTGAAGAACACACTGGCTCTAACCACAAAATTGCACAAAGTAATTCCATGCCAATCATAGCAATCAACACATATTGCACAGAGGAGATGAAACAAAACAGTGAAGAAATAAATAATATAAATCTAAGTATGTAACACATATTTATAGAGTGCATGTGTGTAACTGTACTTTACAATAAAATATTATACCTTGCACTAATAGATTTATACATCTGTTGAGCTCCATAGCAGTTACCATCCTCTACAACTTTTGCTAACTTCTCAACATTCTGCAGTTGACAGCAAAAACAATGTATTCTAAATTGTTAGTCTCATAATTCTAATCAACAACTCAACAATAATGCACTTAAATATAATCAGTGTAGGTACATGGGTCTGGCCCTGCGACTGGAATCACCACACTGCTGCCATGTCACCCTCCAATGGCTTCCCTGCAAGTTTGCATGCCACATATCATCTCTAGCTGGCAGACATGTGGTGTGGGCCAACCAGCAAGCCCAGTGCCATCACCTGCACTCCGCCTCACCAAATACACCACGGTCAAGTCTAGCTCACTTAGTTGCCTGGCTTGAGCATAGCCCCACCAAACAAGGTCTCTCTCAATCACTAGAGACCAAGACATCAGACCACATTATATGGGCAAAGAGCAGGGCTCAGGTTCCTAGTTCAGGATCACCAGAGCGCTTGTGAATTGGAGACTAGAGTGCAAGGGATCACCCTAGCACCTCGTCAGCCCACCCTACACCCTTTGGGGAGGAGCACGAGCAGACAAGTCTTAAAGAGAGAAGGGCCTTGACCAAGACACAAAACGTCGATGGTCGTATCATACCTACCTTTGAGTCCTGTGACATGCCCAAGAAGGAGTGTATCATACCTACTCTTTGTCAGAGAAATTATTCAGTACTCTTGAAGCAATGCTCTGTTCCATTTACTCATTGAAACTTTGTACATCGTCTGTTAAAAGTCTCATAGTTTAGACCTACGAAGCACGGCCACCTCTCTGGAGGTGACGTACGGTTTGTCCTACACATGTCGGACAAGGACATGCACCGAACACGCTCCAGACACGCTAGGACACTTGGGACACATTGTGGACAATTTGGGACATGCTGGAGACACATTAAGGACACGCTAAAATTTTTAATTTTTTTATTGAAATAACACACTTAAGATTGATAAATTTGATAAAATTAAATATTTTATATAAAATATTTAAAAATATAACATATGATAAATATATAAAATTATATGTTTTGCACATATGCCCAACATGTTGTGTTCTGCATTTTTTCAAAAATTTGTGTGCCCACATATCCATGTCACGTCACGTGTCCGTGCCCATGCTTCTTAGATTTAGACCAGTAACTATTGATTTAGAGCACCACCTAGACTTGCTCTAGGAGCATTGAATAATTTCTCCGCAATGTCCACATATGATACATCCAAGGTCTGCAACAGGGGTTACATTCATTTTCCCTCCTTTTTGCCTCCCTCTTTCTCTCTCTCTCCCTCCTTAGCCATATCAATGAATGCCATCTTCCCATAGGGTACTCCTCAACCAGCTGACCCCCTCCCCACCATCAAAATCATAGAACACCAACCCAATCAATCTCAGAAAACTTAAAAAAGGTAATGATAAGGTAGGGTTTCATAACCCACCCACAAAACTAAATAAAGGGTCTAATTTATTGAAACAAATGGATGATTAAAAAACAAAATTCAGCTTTGCAATTTTGACATCAATTGATCTGAAAACAAATGAAGTTAAAAGATTCATATGCCAGATTAAGACGGAACTGATTAACGTTAATGGGTTTACCTCTTTAGCGGGAGGCAACAAACTTCTTCTGACTCTCTCTCGCAACATCACCTTCGATGATCAATTCGCTACAGACACAGAGAGATCTGATTTGGTCCTCCTGACCTGACAATCCACAACTGTTTGTAAAGTTCGACTTCAAATGGAGCTTATATATTGTGTGCTTAAGGGGTGGTACCCATGCTCGTCATGTTGTACCTTAGTCTATTTTTGGCATGTAGGATTCATTTGGGGGGAATTTTTTCGGCATGTCTTTTTAGTTTTTTTTGGCTACTTTAATTTGATTATAAAAAATTTGTTTCGAAAGAATTTTTAATTTTTTTATAATTTTGTAGGAGTAAAAATAAAATAATTATAATTTAGATGTGATATTTTATCATATTGATTTTCTTACCTTTTTTATCTTTTAGTATGTTAAATTAATCCCAACTTACTTTTCAAACTAAAGGTGTTTTGGGAAGTGGGTTAAAAGCCACTTCTCAGTTTTTAATCCATTTCACTCTCTCACAAAAACGTCAAAAAATAATTTTTAACCATATTCCCAAAACACTCCAAAGATATATTGTAATTTTACATTTAATTTTTTATTTAGATAATTTGATTAATGAAAAAAATCGTTTAATAATTTGTGAATGAAATAAATAGTTTAAATAGTTTAATAGTTTTGAATGATTTGATGAATGAAACAAGTTGTTTAGTAATTATTGAATGTAATCTATATATATAAGGAAAATGACCTTTCTCATGAGAAGGCTTCTGGGATTTCTAAACTCTCAAATTATATTTTATGATTTTTAAATAATAAAAAACATTATATTGGTTAAACTGTTATTTAATTATAATAATAAAACTCTAATTATTTCATATATTACGGTTTTTAAAAGATAAGTATGCTAAATTATTTCAAAATTTAAATTTGTGTGCTACTATATATGGAAGCAATTCACTAAAATTTAATCATTTTTTATTTTAAAAAAAAGTCTATTGGTTAACTCTAATTTAACCATAACAATTAAACTCTAATTATTCCATAAATTACGACTTCTAACAAAGAAAGTATGCTCAATTATTTTTAAATTTAAATTTGCGTGCCATTAATATAGAAACAATCACTAAAGTCTGATTATAATCATAAAAAAACTTTAATTATTTCATAATTTATGATTTTTAAAAAAATATATATATAATTTTCTATTTCAAGATTTAAAATTATTTGTCATTAAATATGATAAGCAATTCAACAGAATCTAAAATTTATAAAAACATTTCAAATGGTCACATTATTTATACTATACCTAATATAGAAATCTTTTTCAAAATTTATAATAATGCTCATTTCAAAATTCAATATAGTAAGCTTTTAAAATTACATTTTATTTTTTATTTTTATTTTCAAACTCACATACTAAGTTTCTTAATTAATTTTTACTTATTATTAAAAAAAAATTCTATTGGGTAACACTTTCTCAACAATAAAAACATAACTATCTAATGATTTATGAAATTTAAAAGGAATGTATACTAACCTATTTTAAAATTTAAAAGTGTGCCATTTAACTATTTAAGGGAAAAAAAATCTATTTTTCTCTTAATTTATGACTTGTAAAAAGAAAGAAGACTAAATCAATTTTAAAAATTTAAAATTATGTATCACAAATTATGAAAAGTAATTTACATCTCTCATAAATCTTCTCTCTTGCATTTATTGGATTCGAGTTAAATTAGAGTTGGTATTCATCAAGTGTTGTAACTATTAGTGATAGAGCAATTGTGAAGAATTCAATTGATAGATTTTTTCATTGTAAGTTTATACTTTTTTTATAAAGATCAATTTCTAACCTTTAGCCTCCCACATCCTTATTTCTATTATGCATCTAACAATTATGTTAATTTTTAAAAATTTATTGCATGATTATTTAATCTAAAGTGTATTTTATAAAATAAATCTCCAATTTCTTTGGTCGAGGTTCAACGATTTAAAATCTATATTTATCAAGTACATAAATATGGATAACAGAGGCCATTAAGGAAATATGCATATCTATTAACAAATTTTCATTGTAAGTTTCTTCTTCTTTTAGATGATGCATATGATTATAATATTACTTATGCATTTATGTTTTGTAATTTCCATGATTTCATATTTCAAAATCTTTATAAGGTTTGCTTTTAATTTTCAGATTTCATAGTTGGTGCACTTTTTCTTAAATAATGTTATACTTATTATATTTTTATATTATATTATATTACATTTTATTCTGTAACTAAGTTTATTTGGTTGTAATTTTAAATTGTAATTTATTTGATATTTTTATAGCTTATTTGGCTAAAAAATAGAGGTTTTTTAAACTACAATTTGTTACTTCTTTTTTTTTTTTAAACTTATTTGAAATTCTTAAATACATTTGAATATAAGAGTCTTATATCTTTCGTCTTAGTAATAATTTTTGAGGTATTATGCATATTTACACAATAAAAATGTTATATAGATTATCAGAAGTTACATTGCACCAAATAAATTTACAACTTATTTTAAGTTAATAATTTAAAATTTTACTTTTAATTTATAACCATTTTATGAGTCATGCCAAACATTAAACAAAATTTAAAATATACAAGGTGCATTTAGATTAGGGCCTAAGTTACATAAGTTTAATAATGACCATGAACATGGTGCACTAACATGTAGATAGTTTTCTTAAATAAATATTTGCTAAAATTTTGAATGAGAAAATTTTGTTTAAAAAATAGGTTGATGATTAGATTTAAAACATATTTGATAAAACTTAATTATTGATCTTGTAGTGCTAAAAGTTTTAACAAAGTATAAAATTTTTAAATTACATAAATTTATTCATAAATTTTAAATATGAAAAATGCTTGGTGTATTTGAAAATATTAAATTTATTCATAAATATTAAATTTTCAAATGTTAGAAGAAATATTTGATTAAGTATAGAATTTTTTAATAAAAATGATTTATTAATAAAGTTATTTCATTCATATTTATAATGTATCATGTCTATATATATATATTTTTTAAAATTTGTGATTAACTCTTAAAATTTAATAAAATTCTTATTCGCAATGTGGATTATGCATAAATTTATTAAAACATGAGAATTTTTTTTTATAAATTCACATATAGTATATGCATTACCTTTTATTTTAACCATGCTAACTATAAACCAAGTGGTCATTCTAGCTCAAGTTGCTTACTGAATAAATATTGAGATTTAAGTACTAGCCATTAAAATGGTCTAACGCATCTTCAATCAAATACACAATAAAAAAACTTAGACCCTTAGACTAGAGTTAAATTGTTTTAAATAAATATTCAGTTTAATTTATTTGTTTAGTATATTAGTTCTAATTTTTTTAATATAAAACAATTAAAAAATATAAAAAATCAAAAATTAAAAATGATCTATATGGAGTTCAAATAAGAAAATAGCTATGGGTTTTGCAAAATGTTCAATTGGTCTAACCTCTAAAATATTAGTAAATATAATTAACTAATATTTAATGAGACTGTTTTAGAAGTTATAACTAGCAGCCTAGCAGGATCGAAATTATCGAAATCTTATTTGAGGAGTGGGTTGAAGATTGGGGTCACTAATACTCAATTTTTTTTTATTTATTCTTCAATTTTGATTTATTGATAAGGTAATTGATTTTACATAATAGATATGAGATAATTGGTAAATTAAAAAACTAAAATTACAAAATTCATCCAAACGAAATATATTTATATTTTATCGTAAATATAATTATTATATGGGAGCTAATTAATGTTAAATAAATTTTAATTTATATTATAAATAAAATTTTTGTTATAATTTAATTTAAAAAATAATTTTTAATTATTTATTTTAACCCGTGCTACTAGTAATTATTGAAAGTCGAAGGCATTTTGAAAAAAAGAGAAAAAAATTGCATTCACACTAAAAGAGGTATATGTTTTTATAGATTAATAATAATAATAATAGAATGTATTATTTCTAAAAACAATTGTAGGATATTAATCTCTTTTTTAATTGAAATGAATAAATAAATTTAAATAATTTGTTACTATTAGTACCATCCATCAAACTCCACAAACCCATCTTCATACTTTTTTTTATTCTGTAAATGTCATTACAGCGAATAGCCTCCACAATTGCCTTTCTATTTTACCATAATCACACCTTACAAACCCATCACCACCCATCCTGCAAGCTCCAAAAGTTGATTACAAATTGCACTGTCAAAATCTTACCCATCAAATTGCTTCCAAATTTGTAGTAAGGAGAATAGACAGAGTAAAAGTTGCAAGCCACTACCACATGTTACCTCCACACACTGTTAGAACCACATGATGTCACCTTCGCTAGTGCCCTGACCCATCTACTTTCCTTCTAATTTTTTTTTTTTTTTTGGAATTGTAAGGTATGATTGTAATAATTGTTGGAACAATTTTCTGTGTAAATAAAATAATTTGAAATAAATTCAAACAAAATAAATAAATAACATACCGGATTTATTTATCGAACCGAATAATAATTAAGACCAAGTCGAGTATGTGACACTCTGTCCTTAAGACAGATTCGCCCCGCTACGGTACTTACGGTTGAGTGGTGTCTATCTCCCAGGATACAATGATCTTCACAAATTGTAGTAGTACTCCAAACAATTTGTTCGGCGAACCAAACCTATGTTCTAATACTCTCTGAAATTATCTCTAAAACTAATATGAAGAAATAATGCAAATAGGAAAAAAAAAATTAGATAGCAAAATGGGAGAATTTCTGATTTTTTTGATGCTTAACCACTGCTGGAAAGTTAGTATATATATAGGCAAAAAGTTAGACCCGAAAAGGTGCTTCCTTGAAGTAAACAGGTGCATAACAAAATTGAACAAGTTTAGTTCAATTTTTTTTTTTTTTTAAAACAAAATTGCAACCTGTTAAAATACAAACAATTCCGGACCGTTTGCACAACCAACACCAATTATTCAAACTTTGAACCGTAGTAGACTAAGTCAACACGAAGGAACTTTAATTTATTTAAACTATTGAAATATATATATATATATATATATTAAACTATTTAAATAGTTTAATCATTTTTAGAAAACCACTTAAGGAAACCAAAAAATAAATTTAGAATCAAATTAAATTCCCACAATATTTAAAAAAAAATAATGTTAGACTC